ATAAAAACCGTATTTCTTGGTTGTTTGCTCTCAGCATTTCAGGCAAAGGTCATTCTGACTGATAGTACATACTGGAGTACTTGCCAAAAAAAGAAAAGGGAAGTCATTTTCATACATAATCTGTAAATAAAGTTCAAGGATGGCAGGTAAGTCCTATATCCTTATAATCAGAGTCCAGGGACATAATACTCAACCTTGCTCATGTTCAACATGAAAAATCAGTTCTTACGTCTTGTTCCCTGTCACTGGAGACTAGTATGATACAGGCACTGCATACACATGAATTGTCCCACCTTGTTGAATGAGCGAAGCAATGTATATATGGAGATGGTTTAAGTGAGTGAAACAGGCCCCTTACCCAAACATGGAAGAAGAAAGGTTTGAACAAGAGGGAGCTCCACACCGCTGCCACTTTTTTTGCCAACTTAATTGCTGTGCCTTGCACTGTGGTCCAGTGAGATCTGAGCAGACTGGCCAGTGTCTATTTGCAATTCCCACTCTATGATTTAGAACTTTATTTGGCATGCTGAGGCTCAGGCTTGACCTCCTCTGGTTGATCCTAAATAGCTGTTGTTACCAACAGCCACACCACTTCTCTTACCTCAGCTTGCATTTTTTTAGTCTCAGATAGTTCCCTGTCATCTTTATCCCACAGATCTTTGCCTTGCTTCAGCAAAGAACTTAGGAAATATTTTCCATGTAGGTCTGTTTGCATTAGACAAAGGTTATATCTCTAAATTAGACTGTTAGTTTGATTTTGCAGTTGCCTTTGCTTTACAGGCACTTCAGTAACTTCTATACTAAACAAGCCATAGTCTATGCTAGGCTACCACTGAAGACAGACAGTTCTGGAACTGCTATAGGGAGCACTGATATGCACAATGAATGTACATAAAACAGGAGGCAAATGATCCTCTCAGGTTAAAATTAAAGTGCTTTTAAAGATGTGAAATATGAAGCTATTGCATAGCCTTTCAAACTCTATTCCTTTGTGAAAGGCTAAACTTACAGTATAGAAAAGTCAGTTATTTTGGCATCATTTCACTTTCTACATTTCTGCCAATAGCTGAATTTAATTACTGTTGCATTTATGGAAATACTTACCTAACTGGAGGAGCGACATATGAATTTTATCCGTTTCACATAAAATGAAGCAAATGCGGGGATATTGGTCTACAGAGAGGATGCAGAGAAGTTTTTAACATAGAGATCTGCACAATTGCCTCTAGGTTTCATTTCTTTCACTCTCTGCTTCAGATGAATTTTAGTGTGCCTGAAAAATGCAAGATTGTAGCTGAGGAACATAAACTCCTCCATCTATCTAACACTGAAGTCAGTGGTCCCTCCCATGCTGTAAGAGGTGAAGGCACTCTGAGAGAAAGTTTTCAAAAGCAGCAAGAGTGAACTGCATCCACACTCCCACAGTGTCTCTGACAGCAGTTTTGTGCAAGGAGCACTAAGAGGAGCTATCTCGCTCACTCATCCTTAATCCAAACACCAACTGATCAACTCATTTCCCCTCCCTAGGGGGAATGCCTTGTGCAGAGTTTCACAGTCACAATCATACCACCTAATAGAGAAGTTCCTTGCAACTTCTTTCTGTTAAGGTCATATTTTTATAGACTCCTTTTTGTCCTCTGCTACTCTGGCGTAGCTCCACAGTATGAGAATATGCCCCAGCGCTACCATATTTTGTGAGGACAGCAGTCCTTGCTATTTTATATATAGTGAATTGTATTGATTCATGGAAGATCCCTGCAGAATGAAATGTATTGCAGTACAGAACACCCTGGTTTGAGATCTACAGGAAAATTGACATAGAGGATATATTCATGTCCTGAAAAAGTATCCAATTGCATGATGCTTACAGGCCTCCTCATATCTGTGTTCACAGCCTGTCCTATAGCTGAGTTTCTGCCTTTTTATTAGTCTTTAGTTTTCTCCTATGCTTGACACATACAGTGACATAGCAGTTACTTCCATGGAAGGGAAAAAGGTAAATAGAAGTAGTTTCATTCAATTTTATTTCATTTGCAGTGTTAGTACTCTAAAGAATAGCTATGATGAAGAAAAACCTAATGAAAACTGTATTTCTCTGTGGATTTAGGGTACTTGTCATTCCTAATTTCACTGAAAATAAGGGAGACTGAAAACACATTTAAAAATATGGTTTTCACTGGTGGCTTGCATTATATTTATCATGGATCAATTATACCAGGTAGCAAGTCAATAAAAACAGTGAAGTGCTAATGTCTTAACTTAGATTTTAGATGGACTTAAATTAGCCCACTGAACTGTGACTGTAATTCATACCAGAGTGCAACTCAGTCACTCTGCAGGAAGCCTGGCAAATTTGAGTCTCCTTGAAGCAGTAAAAATATTGGCTTTGGTGTAATGTTACCATCACTTCTTTCTGTGAGAACTTACTTAATGTGACTGTAGTAGGAGAAAATCACTGAGCACTAATATCAGCAGATGTGGGAGTGCTTTACAGCAGCAAAAGCTTAACAGAAGACAGGCTTTTGGTACCTTTAGGAAAAGTAGTGGCTGGAAATCTACTGTATATTTGGGAGCCATTATATGCACAAAAAATATAGAGGTATCAGAGAAAAGAAAATGTTAATCATTCTTGTAGTGAGGTGGAATAGCAAAACGTACAGGATCGGACTGTAAATGATGACACTATAATGGAAACGTAATAATGAACATTTTGACTGAACGAATTAGGCACTATAATATGATTTCTAATGTAATTTTCTTAATAACTTAGAATTTTTAAGACAATGCATAGGGGACAAGCTGGCAAGTAAGTTCTCTTTCCTCAGCTTTCAGATAGGAATTAAAATGTTTGCCACCTTACAATAGCAAAAAAAATTCTTATGTTGTCAGGCTGCAGGTAGCTGTATATATAAAAATTTGTATTTTCAAACTGGCAGGATTTTAATGTTTGAAGATTTTCCTGTCATTAAAGAAAATAATGTGACTTCTCAGATGACTACTGTCACCTTAAACACATTCTACTGTTAACTATCATTAGCATTTAATTTACCGTTTTCTCTCTAAGGTTCATTAACCAAATATCAACTGCTTTTATTTATCAGTAAGAAGCATAATAGCAGTGTTATTGTAACTAAGGATGCAGAGGACAATGTTTTGGGCACACAAAAAAGCACCATAATTCCAATCCCATAGTGCTTTATGTAATATTGAGAAGATGAACGTCAGAGAGTGGTCTTGCTATTTAACCTTTCAAATTATGTTGGCACATGAAAACTTACTTGTTAATAATTTGGAAATTATTAGTCTTATAACTATCAGATCAATTAAGTTCAATATTCTACTTTTTGATAAAGATATTTCTCAGCAATAGCTACAGCTCCCTCTTTTATAAACAGACGGGATGCAAAGGCATAACAGAAGCATCCTCTGTCTTGCAGTAATGACCACTGAAGGGGTTGATAGCAAGTACCATGTGATGGGTCACATTTATTGTTAGGGTAGGTTAATCGCTGCTGTGAAGCTGTCAGACAGAGCTCACTTCATATGTGTGCTAAGCGTGAATCAATCCCACGAATCAATGGGATTCACGAAAACCACTTTCTAAAAGCTAGAAAAATGCTTCCCTTTAGTGGACAGGCATCTAAGATACTTGCTCTCAAAAGGTACCTTTTCATATGCTAAATTCGTGTGTACATATTCTACTTTGAAAAATCTCAAGTTGTGTGAGTTGAACTCTGTCATGTTTTATGGGGGCTCCATCTTGGGCTGAAGAAAGTACTGAAAAAATAATTACGTCCAAATATCGATTTTTGAGTAAATGGCATATTTATGGATCTGGCATTCTTTTCCATTAGCTTTCAAATGATCCATTAAACACCATTGATTACCCTTGCTTGGTAACTTGTCTTCTCACCATTTTCTCTCCTGTTAAGGAGATACAAGCTGAGAAGACCTTTCTTCAGCAGCACATGTTCAGCATCAAAAAACTGGAGTACAATCCCTTCAACTTTGTGCAAGTGTAAATATGGAGGCTTGAATGACACGTCAGCTTTCTCTGGGGACTTCACTAAAAACAATGCCCAAAATGTATTTGCAACATTGTTTTACAAGAGAGAAAGGGAGGGAGAGAAAGAGTGTGAGTTTTGGGCGGAAGGGACGGAGGCAGCTTCTGGACTGGCTTCAGGCTGGTAGTACAGAAGCATAACCAAAAACAGAAGTCGCAGGATCTGGGGAAGAAAAAATGTACAAGAGTAAAGAAGCTGCTTACCAAACACCCTGAGAGCAGAGAAGGCCTTACATGTATTATTACCAAGGTGTGTTTTATCATATATCTCTTGGCAACATTGTAATTCATAGCATGAGTGTAGGAAAGATATTTCACCTTTGAGTTTTGTTTTCTCAGGAATCGCAGAGGATTCTACAGATACCACAGTTATTACCATTCTGGTTCCCAAAATAACCTATGAATAACTTACTGAAGTATTAAAGCCCCCTTGATGTAAAGAGAGCTACCGATTTTGTCATCAACTTGACAGAAATTTCCTTATGCAGAAGAGATGCAATGCCCCTTCACCAAGATGGAATCAGGTTGCCACCAGTCTTGCTGCACAAGGTAGCCAAGCATGTGGAAGTCCTACACAGGGAAACAAAAAGCCTGCCTTTCACAAGAGGTTTACAAAAAAACAAAACAAAACAAAACAAAACAAACTACACTTGTATTTCACAACAGCATTTAATGAAAGCTACCAAGCTGCCTGGTGCCATCTGGACCCATGAAGAGACTCCAGAGATAAATAGTATTGCAGGAAAGGGCTTCATCTCACCTAACAGCAGGATACCATTATTCAATTACCTTTTACTCACAGAAAAAAAAAAAAAGTGGTAGTATAGACAAGTTCCCTTCCTCTTAATTTTTAAAATTTAAACTGATGAATGACAAATTTTTTGTTGTTATTGGTGTGTAAATGTCAGGTTTTTTTTATTCTTAGAAACAATGACCATTAATGGGGCATGAGAGAACAAGAATAAACCTAAATACTATTAATATTGAGGAAGCTGCAGAATAAAACTTAAAGCTTTGCAAAGTGTTCACAGGATTCAGTTACATAACTACTGTTGGTCTCCTGAAGAAATTACAGTTAGTCTTGCCCAAAATGTGAATGCTCCTAAAAACTCTCATGTCAATCAGGTGGGATGGAGGGAATTCAAGGTATCCTTGATATTTCTTTCTCTTTAGGGTTTTTTCCAGTGTTTTTACTCTTCCAAATTTTAAAAGAGGCTGATCAGCTTTATTGTGATTCCTTAGAACTGAAAGCATTGTTATGTATCCATCTATGATGCAAGGTGTAGAGAGGAGTTAATATCTTCTATTAGGCCAGGTGGCAGAACTCAAAAATTAAGGGATATTCTGCAGTCTTAATTCCCTTTCAGACCTGCAATAGACCAGGAAATGCCAGGATAAATACAGGCTGAGAAATATAAATTCACCAATTAGACAATTGAAGGAAAGCATAGCTGCTACCTATGCCGAAAGAGGGATGTTAGCAGGGGGAGAACTAACACAGTCTTTTACCTATATGGAGTACTGGGAGAGGAAAAGAACATATAATTGTTGTTCAACGAGGAGTTAAATACATGTGAAAGATAAGAAAAAATGATAATGTGCTACAGTCAGCATCTCTACCAGTTCCTTGAATATGACAGACAGCAGCTTAATCTATTGTAGTTCCAAAGCTTGTCTTTCAGGGAGATTTTTGTAAACCTCCCCATCAGCCCCTCTCAATGATCAGAACTGATAGGCAAAAGGTAGAGCACCTATCTTTTGAAAAACATTCTCCCGCTGGCTGCTGGATGTTCTTTTCCATGATTTTCTGTGAGTTTCTGAATGAGTTCATGCTCTTTGGTGTATAGCAATTGCTTGGTGTCTAGGACAATGTTCTGTAAGGATATTTAGGGCACTAGACAAAGTACATAAACCTCAGGAAATGCATGTGTTTCAGCCATAGGCTTGCCATCAAAGACATTTAATGTGTGCCATATTTCCATTTGTTAGTGGCACAGAGCCACAGATCTCCTCTCCTTTGCAGCACTCAGGTATGGTAAATGCACAGCCGTGTTTCCACTACTCTCTACTGCAATCTGACAAAGGAAGGAAGCCAATCCATGCAGCAGGATGCTAATAATCAAATTCAAAACTCCCAGATGTCTGTCAGCAAAATCCACAATGTCAATGCTTCTTTTTAAGGAGGATTAATGAGGTAGTTTTGCCAGCCAGCAGCAGAAAGCTCCCAGCCATGTGCCAAACCTAATGTCTTTAAAATGTGCTCCACTAGGTCAGCAGACCCATCTGTCCATGGGGATGAGAGAAGGTGTGATCCACACGGATCTATAGCCTAAGTCTAAATGTCTTGGAGCACATTCAAAGTGCTACAGAAGAAAGTTCACTTTTATCATGGCGAATCTGTTACAGTAGGTACCTTCAGGAAATAGTCCCTAAACAAAATTCCTTTCTTCATACTTCTGCTGGTTTAGAAACCTAGTCTTGTGTCTGTAGCTTTTTCTTATTTAGGCCAATATTAAAAATCAGCTGGAGTTTAGAAATATATTAGTAGTTACATTTACTCAGCAAAATGAATCAGTGTGCTAAAAAGGCAAAAACAAGCTAGGACCACCTCAGCTAACATGGGAACTGGTTGATGTATCTTTCTTTCTTCTGTCTCTACAACTTTTGCTTAAGGAGCAATCCTGTCTAGATTCCTTCTCTGATGTTCTGGGAGGAACACTGTAAGATTTTTTTAGCTATGTTGTTGTTGTTGTTTTTGTCAGCTATCCCATTCAATTTACAGTCTGGCCAACATGTAGACAATTTCAAAACCACTGTAGATATAGTCCTGTCATACTTTGATTCAGAGTGATAATGTACTGATATCATACAACCCCCAGATAACTGATTAGATCTTTTTTCTTTATCAGACAAGGATGCCTATTTCAGATACAAATTCCTTTGCTGCTAACATTTAACTTTAAAGAAATGAACTCTACCCAAATCAGCAAACCAGCAAATGTGCTGAATATATATAGGAAAATACAGGACAGGGAGGGATCAACAGGTTCAACAAGCACAGTTGCCAAAACATAAATTGCAGTGTAATAGATGTCTATTCCAGGAACATCTGCAGAACACCCACTCCACGTGACCCTGCTAAGGAAAGCATGCCCTATTGAATTTTCAGGGGCTTTTGGCTGCAGTATCTCTGCTGAAAATAACTTTCAGTATGACAACAGCAATATTGCTGACAAATATGTATGTTATAGTCTTAAAAATAAATAAATTACTCAGATTTTTTCATTGATGAAAAATTCTCCTTATTCATCTTGTGAGGCTTTCAAACAGCAGTTCTGTCTGCACTGCAATTCTCTTATACCAACTATGATACTGAAAGAAGACTCCATAGTATTTTGAGACTTCTTTATTGCAACGTTGCTGGATCCATCCTCAGCAGTTTCTTCTTCTACATTACACAGTTTCACAAAAGCTGCAGGTCTCCATAAGTCTCACTGTAATAACACATTGCAGGTAATTGTTGGTTTCTTCAAACGCATTTGCCTCTACTTCAAGCCATAATTAAAGGAATCATATAACTTTGGAACAGTCTTTCGAAATCTGAAAATAGGAGTTTGATTTACAAATGTTAGGGTGGAATAGGAAATGAGTGAGCCAAAATCAGCACGCTACCATGCTCATTTGCAATACTCTGAACAAGGCATGCCCTTTGTTTTGACCGCCAAGACTTATCCAAGACATCTTGTATATATATTGCATAGTGTGAACAACAGCAGGTCGTCTCCAAAAAGAGCAGAGTACATTTATTATCAAGACAGGAAGAAATTGCTTGAAACTAAACAAAAGGCTACCTTCAAAGAGAGAACATTGCCATGGAGGAAACAAATTATTAGAGACAAGGCCTCTTCTTACACCTGCTCATCAGAGTTGCTCACAGACTAGGTGCTAAAGCCCACATTTGAAATCAGGCTCTGTGGTTTCGGGTGGTTTGTTTTAAACAAGTGGGCACATTCAGGGCTGTGATAAGATTATGTGAAATGATAAGGTTTCTGTTGTGCTTTCTGTTTCTATGCCTCCTTTATATTAAGTGGCAGATTTTTGGACAGAAGGGTCTCAAAACTTTGTTAACAGACTCAGCTTGTATTTTATCAGGTGTACTTATTTGTATCTCACTGCTCCTGTAGCTTTGCCAGCAATGCTTATTCCAGGATATAGGTCTGATATGATCAGTAAGGTCAGTCTCAGCAAGTATTCTTCATCAGAGAGTGCACTGCCTACATTAATTACACTAAGTTTGTGTCCCACTAGCCACTCAGTTACCAACATGATCACAGAAATGCACTCCACAGTTTTCTTTCACAGATAAAAAAATGATCTTTATTCTCTTTCTCCAAAGTTCCTAAGATATGCACTGTGAATATGTCCCCTTGCCAAGTGCTGGGTTATATTCAGAGAAAATGCTGGCAACAATTGCTTTTACAACATGGTCTCTACAGATCTGGGAAGTTTCAGTATGAGATTAGGTGTCATGACAAGGTAGGCCCAGAAAGATGAACCGTAAAAATAGCCTGGATTGTATTCATTTGGACTTTTGGGGAGGTTGGTGTTTTGTTTTTTTTTTTTGGGGGGGGGGTTAAGTTTTAGTGTCAACATGAAATTTTTCTGAATTCTCAGGAAAAAACCAAACATATCCTTCTTAATGAAGAATAAAACAAAAAACTATATTCTCTCTTTCATCTTTCACTTCTTTCTCACTGCTTACTCCCCCCATTTCTTCTTTCCTGCTGCTCTTTCATTTATACAGTTGGAGAACATTTTACCTTTTTTTTTTTTAGGGTCTTAAAAAATCATTTTCTAGCTCATTTTCTCTTTCCCCTCCTACTCCACTCCTCTCAGGTCTTTGAGGTCATCTTTGAGGTTCAAATTAGAAGCTCTGTGACATCACGATTTCTGCAGATCTCTCCCTTGCAGTTTTAAACAAAGCTCCCTAACTTAAAGATTCTTTAGAAATCTCTCAGGGAATTTTTTTTTTTTTTCCAGTATATGGAAGCCCAAGTATTCATTTTTGTCCATTCCACCTCCCTTCACCTTCTTTACACGACAAATGTTGATTTTGCATGACTTCTCTATACTTAATTTCATTTTAACTATCCACACAGTGCCTTACCAGTACCTAGGAAGAGATACTTTCTCTTGTGCATCAAGCATCTTATTTCATATGTAAATAATCTCTTCCAACGTCTTTCTGTAAAAACATTTAGCTAAGAAATTTAGGGGGTCATTTGTAATAGAAACATGCACAGAATAAGAACAATTTCTATCACTTTGTCTCAACACCTTGATTTTCTTTCCCCCTTTTTTCCCTATTTTCTGTACCCTGTGACAGGAGGGAAGATTAGTGGCTGTCCACCAGCTGGTTCCCCATTCTGCCATTTGCTTCTGAAAAGGGGTGATTTAACAGAGAAAACCAAGAATTTGGAGAGCTTAATTCCAACACCTAAGTCTTCCTTTTGACCCTGAGCAAGAATTTGAGTCTATGTATCCCACATCACAGCTAAATGTCCAACTCCACAGAATTAGTCTGGAGTGTACATCTATTCTTGTAGCATCTTCTTCCCTTTCTCCCCTCCATTTCCCAGGTTCTTCAGTAACATTGAGAGAGGGGAAACAATAACTCACCTTGTCAAACATGCTCACTTGACAGGCTTGAAGACTGAAACCCCCTGATTCCCCAGGGCTGGAAAAGCAGTCCTTACACCCTGCCTGCTTCATTCCTGACAGGAAAATCTCACCTCTGGAAAAGACTGGGTAACCTAAGGTAATTAATTTCTGAAATGGTGGTAGGACTGATGATTCTGTTAGCAAATGGCCACTGTTACTTGTGGTTTTCATGTCTGTTCCTGAGGAGCTGGATAACTCTGCTCAAATGTAGGAGTAATCATGTGTGGGTAATCATTTGCTTATATGATAACCAATACCTGATTACAAAGGTCAATGTGATACCACGAAGCTGTTTGCAAGATGTTTTTATTTACTCAGAACATATTTGATTTCCTTTGGGAAAGGTCAAACCATGAAAAATAGGGGAATAAATGAGCATTATGCTAATAAGCTTCCTGGGGCCACCATTAATATTAATTACATGTTTGCTCTGTCTTCTTTGGGTATGCTGACAGAAATACATGAATTTCACAGGGAATTTCACTTCTATAGTTAACAACAGAGATGTCATGTGAGAAGAAGGACTGGAAAAAAAAGTCACTGTATTATGATACTCCATGAGCCTGAATAGGACCTGTTCCTAGTTCTTCAATGGTTTCTGCAGTCTGCTATTGGGGCATGCAGAAATTAATCTTGCCTTACACCTTCACAAAGCCCTGGGCTCCACTATTCATGATCACACTTTCAGTCACACAGATTTCTTCTTGCATCCCTATTTTGCTGCAAATCTGACTACAGCTCATTTGTCTGAAATAGAGACTGAACACACAAAATGCTGCCCCTGTTCATAGATTAACCTCATCTCTTCCTGAAGGGTTAATGTTTCATGTTCTACTCATGTAAATAGCTTTACTGATTTCAGTGGAGTTACTCAAGGGAGAGAGGACTCCAATACTCTCTGCCATGTAAAAAGACATCTGGAGTCAGTCCTATGTGGTCAGTGTTACTCAAATTTCCTCCCTTTGTTTTAGGGCTCTCACACTGTCATACCTTTCACATCTCCCATTTGGATTCTTTCACTTGTTTTGTGCTCTTTCATAGAATCATAGAACGGTTAGGGCTGGAAAGGACCTTAAGATCATCAAGTTCCAACCCCCCTGCCGTGGGCAGGGACACCTCACACTAAACCATGTCACCCAAGGCTCTGTCCAACCCGGCCTTGAACACCGCCAGGGATGGAGCATTCACAACTTCCCTGGGCAACCCATTCCAGTGCCTCACCACCCTTACAGGAAAGAACTTCTTCCTCATATCCAATCTAAACTTCCCTTGTTTAAATTTGAACCCATTACCCCTTGTCCTATCACTGCAGTCTCCAATGAAGAGTGCCTCCCCAGCATCCTTACAGGCCCCCTTCAGATACTGGAAAGCTGCTATGAGGTCTCCATGCAGCCTTCTCTTCTCCAGGCTGAACAGCCCCAACTTTCTCAGCCTATCTTCATACAGGAGGTGCTCCAGTCCCGTGATCATCCTCATGCCTTTCTGCAGAGAAAGCTCCTATTTCTCAGCCAGCACAGACCTATACAGTAGTAGCAGCTCTGTTTTCCTAAGGTGAAGCATCTCATCTGGATGCCTACCACCATGTTAAGTCCTCCATTAACATGCAGCAGGAGAAACTAATGAGCAAAGCCCATTTTCCCCATTCTACTTTAGTTCCAAACTTCAAACTCCTCATACAAACAGATTATTTTGCCCTCATCCCCTTCAGGAAGTGAGATCCATCACCCAGATACAGCATTTTCTCCTCCTTGTCTTTTCAAGCTAAGACAAGCCCAGCAAGCATTCTTCCATGGCCTTATTACTGCTCCTTCAGTCTCTTTCCAAAACCACCATGGCAGGTCCCTGGGGTCCCTGCATCTGCCTCTGCTCCTTGCCAAACACTGGCTTCACCAAACAATCTCTGTGGAAACCAACACCAGCTTGTTAAAAGGAACACATGTCCAAGCTCATCTGACCCAAACTCACCCCTCAAGCTTCAGATGAGGGACTTGTTTTAATGGAGTGGGGGAAGAGCTAGGGGAAAAATATAAACTACTTTTGAAAAACCCCACAGAGCAATATGCCAAGAAACAGCCCACTTCATAAACTATCTAGGGAGGGACCTGGACATAGACATCTTTCTGCTATGGGAACAGTGTCTCCCATCTAATTTTGTGCTTCACCCAAAACATCCTTTTTTGAACAGCTAGCAACAGTTAGAAAAGTTTAGGCTCTCAACTAAGGGTGCCTGGAACACAGCAGCTACCTGTGGACAATTACTGCTCAGGGAACACATTTCTTGACCCCATAGCCAAAAACATAGTCTGACTCTTTTTTCTGGCTCAAGAAGGTGTGGAAAATAGCTTTCTGAATTAGACAGTACAGTGCATAAATTCCCTCTTCAAACTTCACAGCTACAAAAAAAATAGGATTAAATAAAAAACTTCAACAACTGCCCATCATCTGCAAGTCAAAGGAAGGCAGAACCTCTGTTGTGAGACTGTTAAATAGCACTAAGCCTTCAAACAAACCTTTTAAAACATTTAATGTGAGAGCATGATGATGCCACCTAAATTTGGATTCGGGTATTGTTAGGGACTTAAAACTGCAGTGTTCTAAGTATGCAAGTTAAGTTCAACTTCCTCAGGTCAGGAAAGCAAAACACAGAACTGACACCAGAAGGGTAAGCACATCTGGAAACGAAGGATTCATGAACTATACCCACTGTCTACTGAGTTTTCAAACAGGATTACAAGGTATACCTTAACAGATGTCCCAAGAGCCTGATCAGCTTTACAAGTTCTCAGATTTGGATCACAGACACTGCTTAAACTATTCATCTTGCACTTGAATATGAAATGCATCTTCACCTCTTTGCTACATCCACAGTACTTCAAATATTCGTGTTTCAAGAAATTTATGCTCCTATTCCCACTTAATCCTTTTGTACAACTTCTGTATTTTTCCACTGAGGATTAAATAACACTTCGGTCTATACACTACATATAACAAACAGCTACCATCTGCATTCAAGTGGTCAAAGCTGGCCAGATAGTATTCCATTTTGTCTACATCATGCCATACTTGAGTGCACCATTACATACCCATTTATGTGGGTCAGTGTACATCCCGTATATGTGGATTGAATTTGACAGAAATTTACTCAGTTACCTTAATTTGGACTAAATATATGATTAAAATCACATGCCTACAGCTCTTCCCAATATCCTAACAGCCAGATTTTTCAGATAGAAGTAGCACGGGCTTCTTAGGTCAGGCTATTTGTTAGCAAATTAAGAAAAACATAGAGGAAACAATCTCTTACAAACCTTTTTCTCAGTGCTATTGCAGTCTGTATTGATTTTCATACTGCATCTGCACCTCGCCTCAAGAAAAATCTCTTCAGTCCCAGCTGGTCAACATTTAATGGTGCTCACAGCAGGAAGCAATAGCTTGAGAGATGACCCATTGGTCTCATCACTGTTTCTGGATAAAACTGAGAACTGCTGAAAGAAAATATTAGGGGACAAAAATGAAACAATATCATAAGTAGCTCCAAAGTTCAAATGAGAAAAGAAGTTGGGGATTGTTAAATGGAAAGCATTGATTGTATATGTTTAGACTAAATGTATACATATATATGGAGATCCCAAGGCCAAATAAAAACATAGGCTAATTCCTGTTATCTATGCCTTAGTGATTTGTGTTAAGGCAGTAGGATGTAAAAAAACTATTTGTTTCTCTAACAGAAATGCCAGGCAAAATCCCTGTATATGATTTTCCCATAATCCTTGAGGAGACACAGGCTGAGAAGTCAGTTCAAGAAGCCATGGAAAATGGTCACCTGTGCTCAGGCAACCCCCACACAGCTCATCCCCATGTACTCTATGGGCTGTTGCAGGCACAGGCCACAGCCTCCATTCCACTCTCTAGGGCACCTGGCAGTGACATGGCAGAAATGGGATGTCTGCATATGAACTCTCATTTTCTTTATGATGCTATAAAGAAAATGAATTATTCCATAATAAAATTATGCTGGTGACTGATACATTTCAGTTGCAGAGTTAGACCTGTATTTATTTGCTCATGATTAAAATTCTGCAATCATTTCAAGCAGCAGATGTTTTAGAGGCATAGAACTGTCATAGCTGTAATACTTATATTTCCACACGTACAACACTTCATTTTGTGTAAGCCTCATCAAAGTGTAAATTAAGGAATCCTCACAATGGCTTTGTGCTTAGCTAGGTGCTCGCCTCACCACAGACAGTTGCAGAATAAGGGACTCAGTGTCTGGTCAAATCCACAGGGCACTCTGACAGCAGAAGACAACCACTGCGAACACCAGTCAATGTACCGGTCTTTCCAGTTTTGAACTGGTTTTCAACTTTTAGACCCAAGAGCACTGGAAACAGTGCACAAATACCACCTCTCTTTTTACAAAGTGGAGCATCACTGGCTTACAAGCATGACACCCTCAGCAGTGGAATGCAGTGCAAACACTGCGTACGAAAATGTAAAGAGAGAGATCATTTCCTTACGGTCTTTGCAGATATCACCCTTTTTGTGGTGATGAAATGTGATCAATGGATGTTTCTGTATGGTGCCATTTATCTTTAAAATCAGCTGAGACAAGCGGGTTCTCAAATTTTTGACTGCAGCTGATTCTGACTACAGCAGATTTGATTTCATGCTGCAGACAGTTGGAGATGGAATGAAAACAACTTGGACTTTAGCAGAATAATAAAGACGATGTTTTCAGACCTTTGCATCACCAGTTATGCTAAGCAGAAGGAGGTCCTATGAGGGGTTTGGAGCAGTTAGGAAAGGAGGACCTAGGCATTATTTAGCTGGCTATGACTGCTGCATTCAAGGCATAAATTGGCAAGAGCTATTGGGAGGAGACTGTAATTGCCTGGAGTACAGTACTGATGGCTACAGGAGGAAAATGGCTACCCACAGACAGATCTGACAGTGAAAGAAGTTGAAAAAAAAGACAGTTCTTCATTCATAACCTTAT